CCCTGGTGGCCCAATGGTTGGGTGCTCTGCCGCTAACCCGAAGGTCAGCCATTGGATCCTGCCAGCTGCTGCCCAGGAGAAAGCGGTGGCAGTGGGCTTCCACGAAGAGGAGAGCTACAGCTCCCGTGAACCAGACCACCAGAGCATGGAGCAGGCATACATAACTATCTATCTTGAAGACAAATTTCTGATATGTTTTAATACTACTGTGATCCCCCCACCCCCCCCATCCAACTTTGGTAAAACATGAAATAAAGCCCTTGTTCCAACAACACATTTGGAAAACAACAAAACCTAAAACACCTTGTCATGGGTCATGGAATGAATAACAGTCTGTTTTTGTTGCTGCTGACTGCTGTTGAGTTGGCCGCCAGCTCATGGCAACCCCTGCCCGATGGAATGGGCTGCTGCCTGGTCCTGCCTGCCTCACCCCGCCATTGGTTGGGAGTAGGATGACTGGTAAGGGCAGGGCTTCCAGAGACGAGCCCCAGGGCGTTCTCTTCCCAATCCCTCTTCGTCTGGAAGCTCCACTGAGAACTGTTCTGGCCACACACAAAGCCTCCTCTGAGAGATAAGTGGTAATTACACATGACGTGCGTTGGCCGGGAATCGAACCTACATCTCCTGCATAGAAGCCATGAATTCTACCACGGAACCACGAACGTCTATTGATTGAATAATATGCCTAAAAATGGTCACTACTGCCTCAGTTGACTTTATTTTTGTCAGTTCCCTCTGAACACTCCAACTGAGCGATCTGAAACAAACTTGCCAAAGACAAGGTCGACACAAATTCATATTAATAAACTAGTGAGCAGCAGTATATAATACCAGCTAATTCCCTCCTCTTCTTTTCTTCCTGTTACATAAATAGAGTACAGCTTATGGCTCAACCATCAGTTAAGGAAACCGACTTAAATTCTTCCAACACTGGCCCGAATTGAGTATCTACCTACGTACAAAACCCAAATGACCAAACTCAGGGCCATCCAGTCAATGCTGACTCACTGGCGAGTCTCTGTGGGTTTCTGAGACTGTAACTGTTTATGGGAGGAGAAAGCTCAGCCTTTCTCCTGTGGAGCTGCTGGTCGTTTTGAACTACTAACCATTCGGATCACAGCCCAACATAGAACCACTACACCACCAGGGCTCCCAAGGACACCTATAGGAGCCCTGGAGGTGGAGTGGCTAATGAGTTCCCCACAAGGTCAGCAGTTTGAAAACACTGGCTACTTGCTGAGAGAAAGATGAGGCTTCCTGCTGCTTTGAAGATGGACAACCTCAGAAACCCTGGGAGGAGCTCTCCCTTCTCCTACAAGGTTGCTATGAGTCGGAATCAATTGGGTGGCCTTGCGTTTGAGGTGAATGAGTGCACCTATCCCATCCTCTGTTTGTCTGAATACTAAATCAAATCTACAAAACATGCAGGGGAAAGGTCAAAACAAAAAAAATAAAAATGCACCTTCCAGTTCCATATGCGTTTCTGCATCTAGAAAGACCGGTCATTCCCACCAGTAAAGCCCAGTGGCCTATCCGTTTTGAACACTCGCTTCTATTGAACATGGAATTCACAAGATTCCTCCCCAGTGTCCGTATCCTATGGCTCCTTTGTGGTGACTGTGAGCACCTGGGTTCCCCCCCACCAAGCTACAGGGACTTAAGAGGGCACTTAAAAAATACAGAAATGAGTTCACAATTACCATATGTTCCCAAAACACTTGGGGGCACTTGTGCGGGAAGTGCCACTTTAAAACCTTCATAGACCTTAAATGTCCATATCTTAAGTGTTCCCCTCCCCCATAATATCAAACATTAAAAAATATACCAACATACTCAAAATGCATGGAACGTATGAAACAGTAAAATACATCCCACATACACTCGCATCTGTGAAGACTAGAAGTCTTGGCTCTGAGCGACAGGTTTAACCTATGATTGTCATTGTTGTGTTTAGGGGCCCTCGCTCGAGTCTAAGAATGCTCATCACGTACACCCAGAACTTATGTTGCAGAAAGAAATTTGGATTTAGTTTCTTAAAATTTTTTTTTCTCAAATTAGATGGGAATTTTACAAAAGCTAAAATGAACAAGTAATGCCACCATATTAAGATGACAAACTCCTTAATAAAGTTACTCATTTTGATTTCATAACGGTAGTTTTATAGTTGGAGGCATATTGTAAGGTCTCAAACATGGTGCCTGACTGGCACAATGGCCTTGGCCTCAGGAACTTCTGGCCGAAGAGAGAATACAGGCCCCGTCCCTGCATTCTGAAGTTGCTGGCTCAGCTGTCACCGACTCTGGGAGATACCAGGAAGCCCTTATACTATAAAGAAGTGTTACTTTCCTTAAGTTAAAGAACGTTTTACTATAGAGGAGCCCAGCCAAAACATGTGGAAGCATAATAAGACATTTCCTTCTCTTTACCTTGAGAATTGAGGTTTGGCAAATATAGTTGGTTGGTTTCAGGCATTTTGTCCAGAAATGGAAAGGTTAGAGTTGCTTCTGGTTCTGGAGATTTGGGCTTTTTGACCTGGACGGTGAGGCAATAGACGTCCATTAGCAAAATACACAGGTGAGATGACATTTCAGGGTCTATACTCACAACAGAAGTCAACAACCCAAACGTTTAACTTTTAAATGAAATTGTTTTTGTCGCCTTCCCAAACTCCCGTTATGCTCGTCTACACTAACAGAGCAGTCTGTTTCTCAAGCGTTCCAGCTGCAGGGTAAAATTGATGATTAGAAGACAGCAGTCCATCTCTGAAGTTGCACATCATTCGCTCTCGCTCTTTTATTAGACTTATCACACAGTCTCTTTTCAGAACTACATCACACGGAATTTGTAATGTCAGGGAAAAATTATATTTACCTCTGGAAGTGCTACAGATGAAGGCAATATTACTTTTCAATAGGCATTATTCTCAAAACATTAGCCACACACAAACCTATGTAAAGTACACGGAAGACAATAGCCTGGGCTTGGTGACATGGAAGTGTGACTCTAAACACCACCCTACCCACCCTCAAACTGTGCTCTTGCAATGGTGCCTCGAGGGCACTGGTTCTCAACCTTCCTCATGCTGCGACCCTTTAACACTTCCTCATGTGGTGGTGACCCCCCTCCCCCAACCATAACATTATTTTCGTTGCTACGTCATCACTGTCATTTTGCTACTGTGATGAATCAGGCGACCTCTGTGAAAGGGTCATTCGTCCCCCAAAGGGGTCAGGACCCACAGGTTGAGAGCCGCTGTTTTCGGGGGATTTCGAGGTGTGCTAGACCACGTAGAGGCCAGGAAGGAGCGATTCTGTCTCATGTGCTTTGGACCAGCTGTCAGGAGAGGCTAGTTCCTGGAGGAGGGCATCCTGCTCGGTGAAGGAGACGGGCAGCGAGAGGACGGCCTTGGAAGCGAGGGCGGGGCCCAGTGGCTGCACCCGGACTCAGGCAAAGACTAATTGTGAGGATGGTGCAGGAGCAGGCAGGGTTTTGTTCTATTGTCACAAGTCACTCTGGGTCGGTGACAACGGACAGGAGGGCACCTAACGGCAACCACAGACTACTTATCCTTAGGGCTCCAAAGGCACAGGCTTGTACATTCCTTGTTTGACTCACAAAACAAGTCTTTGTTGTAATTATTTTATTTGGTTCCGTCTCAAGCTAAATGCCCTCTAATGGGAGCGTCAACCTTCTTATCTGTCCCTTTTAATCAACTGACTCCTGAAGCTTGCTGGAGTAAGATGTGAAGTCGGAGTCAATAGATTCTTCATGCCAGTGCCCTGCATGAAGCGGTGGCTGTATTAATTTATATCCTCACAGGTGCTCGTACAACTTCCACCCACCCTCTTGCTGAGGCATTGACCTGAGGGGGAACAAGGCTGCCATACACTTACTTCATCACAAGCCAATGTACGCTTTGGTCAAAAAGGGGAGATCCTCACTCGGTCTTGAGTGAACGCATGGACTGAGTTCAAAGAGCATTATTCCATTTGCTTATTACTAGCAGGGAATTCTGAACCCGAGGTCCATGGAAGAGTTGCCAGGGGGTCTGAGAATGTGGTTACCATGTGTTACCAAGGGAGCTTATTAATTTTAAAAGATTTTGAGAATAATAGTCGCCAGATGGCCAGAGGGGTCAGCAGGAAAACAAACACAAACCTGCCGACGGCTCCTGGAAACAGTTCTTCCCAGAGTCGGGCGCCCATGGGGCTCGGAGCATGCGGATGAGACGTGCAGGTGGGTAGTTTTTACGGATGGCATTCATTAAAAAAAATTAACCGTGATATAAAATTTCACATTCAGTTTAAATTTAAGTTAAAAAAAGGATAACTTTGGACGAATAATAAATAACAGTTACAATTGAAATGTGGATAAGGCAAAATATTATCCTCAAAATGCGCAAAGGTGAGAAGCCCTGGCGGCCTTCGATGCTTGGTCTGTGGTTTAGTTCCTCTCTTCAGACTTCCAGGCCATCCTGTAATTCCGTGTGTATGAAACTGGGGGGTAGCCTAGACCCCAACTACCCTCAAGGCAGCAACCAAGTCATTTCTGAGGCTTAATAAGGACCCGGTGCTCCTAGCTCCGTCGGGGGTGGGCTCTTGCTCATTGTTGACCAGCCAGTGCCCCGTACTAGTGACTGGCACATAGTGACCACACAGCCAACATTGGTGACGTCAACGAATGACTGAGCCGTAATCAGAAGTGGTAACTGTCTCACTTTTAGTCAAACCCCAATGTAGCGTCAATTATTAAAGGTGTAGGTCAGTGTTTCTCCACGCGGTGGCTGATTAGAATCATTTGGGAACTTAAAAAAAAAAAAAGGCAGACGTCTGAGTCCTGCCTCCAGAGAGTAGCCACCGTCAAGACCAAGTGGTTCAAAGTCTTTCATCCTGAAAAGTTTGAAGACTCTGTACCTGGAAACTAATGCGAACCAAGAGGAAATGGACTACGAACAAAACTTTAAAACCCAGGATACAGAACAAAAAGGTTCTCGGCTCCTTGTTATTCAAATTGAGACGCTTCAGAAATATCATCCTTAAACTCCGGGCACAGCAGTCTGCGTTTCCACAAGGCCCCCTGCTCATTCGGCTGTGCTCCACCGTTTGAAAACCCTACTTCATATCCACCCACTGCCATCAGGTCGATGGCCAACCTGCAGGGCAGAGCAGAGGTGCTCCTGTGGGAGTCCCAGGCTGCAAATCCTCACGGGAGTGGAAAGCCTCACGTTTCCCCCCTGGAGCCGCTGATGGCTGCTAACACACCCCGCTCACTGCCCCTCACTGCCCCCAAAGACTATATAGCAAATGTTAATGAAAGAGGGGTAAATGTCGGTGGTTTTTATAAGCACATGTGCATGTGAATATGCATTTAAATAACCCTATGTACACTCATTTTAAGTTTTTTAAAGAAATATTTGTATATTTACAGATAGCACTTGATATACTTATGTTACATGTTTAAATACATAACAGGAGGCTTCAAAAAGTTCTTTGAAAAATTCCATTATTGTTTAATTCAACTTTTCCTTAGTTTTTTTCTGAAGCTTCCTCAGAGACTGCCCTTCCTCTTGATGTATATACCTCTCTCTCTATGTTTAAATTTCTTAACGTGAGCATGTAGTACAATGGATCTAGAAATCAAAATGGAGACCGAAGGAACAATTAGGTGAGAACATTGCTAATCCCGGCAGTAGCCGGCGACCATGTAAAACGATACCACTTTGGAATTTTCACTATGTTCATGGAAAATGTGGTACCCCACCTTCTGTGACAGCACCAGCTCCACCTTCCCACCCATGCCGTCTTCCGGCTGCTTCTGCCCTTCTTGTCCTGGCACGTCGCTCTTCGGCTGGGGCCTGGAGGGAAGCTCCACAAAGGCCACCGTCGGGCTGGACCGCGTCATGGTTGCTGTAAAATGCTGCGGCTCTGAAATGGCATCGCGTCCAGAAAAAATACAGACAAAAAAGAAGAGTACATAAAGCCCTTTCATCCATCAATAAGGTTAGTGTTGATAAGATTGATCAGAGAAGTATTCATCCATCAATAAGGTTAGTGTTGATAAAATTGATCAGAGAAGTATTCATCCATCAATAAGGTTAGTATTGATAAGATTGATAAGAGAAGTATTCATCCATCAATAAGGTTAGTATTGATAAGATTGATAAGAGAAGTAGTCATCCATCAATAAGGTTAGTATTGATAAGATTGATAAGAGAAGTATTCAGATGGGAATCAACCAAACAGAAACCAAACTCGCTGTCATGGAGCTGAAGCCGACTCATTCAGACCCCGCAGGACAAGGGGGAAGAGCCGCTGTGAGCATCCGAGACGGTCACTCGTCATGAGAGTGGAAAGACCATCTTCCCCCACCACGAGGACAGGCTGGTGGTTTCCAACCGCGGACCTCGAGGTTAGCAGCCCAACTGTAATCACTATGCCACCAGGGCTCCTTCGGATCAGAATAGCAGTGGTGCCATAATTGGAGGATGGTAGCACTCATCCTACATATAGAAACTTCCAGGGTCCCTCAGAAAATGGCTAGAGCTGATAGAGGAATTGAGCAAAGTTGCAGGGTTTAAGGTTAACAAACACAGATTACTTGGGTGTCTATACTCCAGTCCTGAGAACTCTGAAAGGGAAAGAATGCCACTTAGAGCAGCACACAGAACGAGATCATGAACACAAGACAAACATGAAAGTAAAGCACCTAGGGGTAGGTCTGGAATGCTGGTGGGGTAGTAGGTACATGTTGGGCTGCTAGCTTGAAGGTCAGCAGTTTGAAACCACCAGCTGCCCCTTGGAAGCAAGACGGGGCTTTCAACTCCCTTAACGAGTTCCAGTGTCTGAAACTCACAGGGCGGTTCTGTCTTCTCCTAGAGGGTCCCTGTGAATCGGCATTGACTCCATGACAGTGAGTAAGCAAACAAGATAAGTCACCACTGCCGAGAGCATGTCCATGGGCCCCCTTTATCTAAACAGTGGAGGGACCATCTAGTTTTAAAAGCATTTTCTAGTAATCATATTTAAATTATCCTAAGATGTCATTTAATCGAATTCACTATTAGCAAGGGGTAGGGCATCTTTATGCTTATCAAAAGTAGAAAACTCATTGCCACTGAGTTGATGCCAACCCACGGTAATCCTACAGGACAGAGTAGAACTGCCCCTGTGAGTTTCTGAGGCTGTAACTCTTTAGGGGAATCGAAAGCCAAGCCTTTCTCCTGAGAGGCGGCCGGTGATTTTGAACTGCTGACATTGCAGTTAGTAGCCCAATGTGTAACAACTACGCCAGCAGGAATCCTTCACCCAAAGGAGAAATGTGTTAAAAACACAGAGGAACCCTTCATTCCACTGTGAGGAGCCCTGATGACTGAGCGCCTTAGCCTCTGAACGAAAGGTTGCCACTTCAAGACCACCTGGTACTCCAGGGGACAAAGATGAGGCAGGCTACTTTTCTAAAGATTCTCCCCCCAAGTCCATGGCCATGGAGCTGCTTCTGACTCACAATGGCCCTTTTCGTGGGGACCTCCTAGAACAGAGTGGAGCACCCATAGGATTGCTAAGGCGGTCACCTGTAGGGGGCAGACTGCCGCATCTTTCTCCCAGGAAGCACCTGGGGAGTGTGAACGGCTGACCTATGGTCTGCAGTGGAGTACTTAACCACTGCATGCCCAGAGAAGGCCACCATAGGGGGAACCCTACGGTGCAGGGTTGCTCAGTCCTACGGGGTTGTTATGCTTGGATTCAACTCTATGGCAATGAAGGCCTCCTGATGTAAACAGTGGATACAGAGCGTTCGTGATCGCTGTCCGGGCTGGTGGTATCACTTTACTCTGTGAAAGTATCCGTGAGCTACAGTGGCTCGATACGGATGGCTCATGACTGCTCTCACGATGGGTTAGAATGCTGTTATTGAGTCAGTTCTGACTCGTAGTGACCCTGTGGAGGTTTCCGAGGCTGTGAGTCCCTCCCTATGGGGTGGACGGCCCCGTATCTGGGCTTGTTTGCCTCCGACAGGAGCAGCAAGGTTCCAGGCATCCAGATGGGTTAGACTCCCACCCTCATTTTTAACGCTATTTATATGGAAAAATGCAATCTTACTTATGATGATGATGATACACTTAACAGGGTAACAAGAAAGCATGCGTTTGAGGGAATGAGAATTAATGATGAAGGGGGACGGAATTTGTTCGACTCAAAAACAAACAACTCACTGCCTTATCGCCAATTCTAGCTCACGGAGATCCTGCCGGACAGAGTAGGGCTGCCTTGCTGGTTTTCGGAGGCTGTAGATCTTTATAGGAGCAGAAAACCTCGCCTTTCTCCCCAGGAGCAACTGGTGGGTCCAAACTGCTGACCTCGTTGTTAGCAGCTCAACATCTAACGCACTATGCCACCACATTGAAAACACTGAGCAAGAAAGCCTAGGTTCTGGAAACCTGGAATCCAGGACGGATGATCCCTTCAGAACCAGTGCTGGGAGTGGAGATACTGGGAAGGTGGAGTGGAAAGGGGGGACTGATTACAAGGATCTACATATAACCTCCTCCCTGGGTGATGGACAACAGAAAAGTGGGTAAAGGGAGACATGTAAGATATGACAAAATAATAATAATCTATAAATTATCAAGGGTTCATGAGGGAG